CACACACACACACACACACACACACACACACACACACACACACACACACACACACACACACACAGCCATAATCCCACACTAATGATTCCCAATGTTGGCAGTACCACCTCCCTTGAAGCTGTGGAGGTAGGAGTGTATAGGGTTGGGTATTGCAGATAAGTTTAAGTAGCCGACACCAATAATCCTACACCAATGACTCCAAATGTGGGCAGTACCACCTCCCTTGGGGCTGTAGAGCTACTGTTGGGGAGGGAGGGCTAAGATGCAAGGGGTAGGAGTGTATAGGATGGGGTTGGAGAATTTATGAAGCCAAGGGTAGCCCAAAAATGTTTGTAAACGACTACTGTAGTTGTGGTAGTATGTAACGGTACAGATCACCACTGTGCACTCTTCATATGTGAGTATTTGTGCAAAATTATGTGTTTTGTCATTACAAGTATTTGTTTAAAATCATGTGTGTGTAAAGTACAAGTAAAATACACATTAATCCCTACAGGTTAAACTGCAAGGTTTACAAAATTGATGTTGGAAATGATGGGTTAAAAATGATTAGACATTATATTAAGTGTATAGTATATTTAGTATATATGGAAGTAATAATGGCCAAGTATTATTAACCCTTCATAATATAAAGTATATGTAGTATAATATATATGATGAAATATATAGTGCACATCTTGTATTTGCTTTGACTTGTATATTGTATTGACTTACATTTTCCTCCACTTGTCACCAGGTGGCGACACCACGTCGGTACATTATTTTCCTGCACACGTACATGAAAGTTTACGAACAGAAGAAATCCGGGATCGCAACGCGGAAAGATCATTTAAAGGTACTATCATAATAACTACATCGCTTTCGATGTTACCTGCCTTCAAAATCGATGCATTCTCAATCACGTGTGTGAAGCTCAATACCTTGAGCTAATCCAGTTTTTCCTTGGCAACTGTGAGTAAAAGAAATCAATTTCTCCACAGCAGAAACCAGGTGAATTGTTTATAAACCAAGTGAAAATAGCCTAACGCTACAAAAATGCATTTCATTCTTGGCAAAATCAGTCGTAGAAGCCAAAGTTCCACTAGGTGCTCGGAAAAACATAATTACATAATTAGATATCATTTAATCAAATCGTTATGAACACAATTATCATGCATGCAGCTTCCTCGGTGACCACGCTGTGTCAGGTTGTCATGGTTACCGTGTGCTTCAGGCGGGGCTCTCGAAGCTAACAGAAGCGAAGACCCTGGTGGACAGCTTGAAGCAGAAAGCCGGGGAGCAGAGCAAGCTGCTTGCTGAGAAGCAGTCCGAGGCTGACCAGGCGATGGGGGAGATCACGCACAGCCTCAAGGTGAGCGGTACTGCAGCAGCGGAGCTCCTCATCGCAGCTTCAGAAGCACCGCGATTAGAACAGAGAATGGGTTCACATGGGATGGTTGTCATCGCCGTGTAATTAATAGTGTGCAGTCGAGTGCGTGCGCGCGTACTACCACTAATATGACGTAGTCACGTATCTGTCATGCTTACATCTGCTGTGTCAGCACAGCATCATGTCTACTCTGAACTACATATATAATACAGACATACATATATATACATACATGTCTACTCTACTTATGTAACATCTCTCCATCTCACCTCGCAGTGCATCATCATTACTACATCATGTCTATTCTACACAACATCTCTCTACATCATGTCTACTCTACACTACATCATGTCTATTCTACACAACATCTCTCTACATCATGTCTACTCTACACTACATCATATCTACTCTACACTACATCATGTCTACTCTACACTACATCATGTCTACTCTACACTACATCATGTCTACT